GGGAAAGAGCCAGATAAGCAGCAAGGCACTGGCACCACAAAGCCCAGGAGACCCAGACTCCATGCCTGGAAGATCTGGCCCAAGGATAATGCTTTCCCCTTGTAGCTAGGGCTGGAACCAGTCCCTGCAAAGCACTCACCCTGCCCCACCGTTGGCCATGCCTTTGTGTGGATCTTCTGCTTTGGCTTCACCTTTGTCTAGCATCACTTCCTTCTTCCCAAGCAGCTCACCCTGGTTATAGGTGCTACTTCCAAGTGGCCTGTTAGAGACTTACACACAGAACAGGTTTCCCTGCCTCCTTATCACCTCCAGGCTGGGCAGAAAAGTTCCCTTATTGTGACTTATACACTTCACAGCCACCCTATTCCACTTGACTTGAACCCTGTGAGAATCCACAACAACCACAAGCAGTTGTGTTGTGACTTAATCTAAAGCTTAGGAGGACAAAAGTAGATGTGGTAATGGTTTCTCAGGGATTTGGGGAGGCTTGAAAAGGATTCCAGGTAGGGTCCCACTTCGATGCCCGATAGGTTGAGTAGAACCTGACTCCCTGTGTTCACACCGTGCCTGGTACAAAATGGGGTCCCATTCTTGGCTGGTCCCTGGGCAACCCCACAATAAATGTGGCCATGGATAAGAATGAAGCCCAGCAGCCAAAACTGCATCGTCTCAGCTCAGACCTGGTGGCGGGAAGTGAGGCCCTGGCAATTCACAAGAGGAGGGAATACTGAAGGTCCCAGCAGCTGGGCATGAACAGTCTGAGCACAAGCACAAGCAACAACCCCATCACATCCCAGGCCATCCCTCCTGCCTGGGTTAAGATGAAGACCAGGCTGTACAAGCTTGAGCAATTTGCTGTTCACGTCACCCAGCCATAGGCAGATCCCTGCGTAGTAAAACCAGGAGTTTTTGGCACCCCAAGGGAGCACAGGAAGCAGACAACTCAGTTCTGCCTTGCTTGGAGCTTCCAGGGGGATGATAAGGGGTTGTCCAGCTTGGGAGGGAAGACTCCTGTCAGAAGACCCCTACCAGGCTGGCATGAAAGACAGACACTGAAATATCCTGAGACATCTGTAATGGACCTGGATCACTTTAGAAGGAACCTTTTGGTGGTGTAGAAACTGCTTTCGCACAGTGACCAGATAGCATGGCAACCAGCCCAGAATACACCCAGTAGACAGAGACTTAGCTCTCTAAACTAGACAGACAGGCAGATGTGCATCTGTGTGGAAGGCTGCATTTCCTATCAATTCCCTGAGCCACAAACTGCCCAGATCTGACTTGGTTGGAACAGCTGGCATTTGGCACAGCAGAAAAGAGCAGGGAACCGTGGGTAGAAAGGAGCCAGCTAATCATACCCAGCTGGCTGCCAGCTGGAGCTGAGTACACTGCAGGTCATCTGAGATCATGTCTACTAGGAACTGACCCTGGACCAGGACAGCTCAGCTGTGGGATCAGCTACTCAAGAGACTGCACCCCTGTCCCAACACTACAGCACCTGGCATGGGACATAGTGGGTAGTCCCCTCTCTAGCTCGCATCTGCACACCAGGCTGTCAGTATTCACCAGTACTCAGTACACACCAGTGCTCAGACCTACCTGCTGTAGCATCACCAATCCATGCATGGGTTCCAGCTCCTGCTGCTTCCTTGGGGGCTGCTGGATGATCTGTCTTCACCACAGTGCCTGAGCTGCCTAGGAGGGAGACCTCTGCAATTCAAGCAGTAGGGGGTCAACATGGCAGGAGGCCACAAGTGCTCACTGTATAGCATCTCCAGCTGGGCAGTGGGCAGAGTTTAGCCCAGCAGCCCCAGCACTGGAGCTTGACACCAAAACCAGGCCACAGCCAGAAGCCATCTTGGACTCTATGGGCATGGCTTGCTTCACACCCTGTCAGCTGATGCCACACATACCGCTAATGAACTTGTGCCAGGCTGCCCTTCTCAGTATGAGGGGAACCTGGCACTTGGGGCTTTACCTTTAGACATAAGCTTTTCCTTCAAGGTCTTGATGAAGCCTGATGTGTCGGCCTGTGGTCCATGGTAGCTTGCTGGGGGTGCAGGGGCTACCCTGCCATCAGCCTGGAGAGCAGCTGGGTAATGCAGAGACAGAGCGTCATTCCCACCTCCACACTGGGCACAGAGAGGGGCTGCTGCAATTCAGAGGCAATGCCAAGGACACCTTGCCTTCTCCCTAGGTGCTGAGGGAAGGGACCAGTGTTCCCAAGGGATGCAGGTGTGTTCCCAGCCTACGACGGTTGCTGGGAGCGACCCATCCCTTTGAGACAGCTCCTGGGCCAAGCAGGGACAAATACGTTCCATGGGTGGCCGTGCCCTGGCTATGGTGGGCAACAGGGGCCAGCACCCCCGTCTCCCACATCCACAGGCTTCTGCTGCCTGTGTGGAAGGTGATCTTCTCTCTCAGCTGCCAGAAGTAACAACTCCCCACCAGTAGAAGCCAGCAAGGCCCTCAGAGACCCAAAAAGCTAGCACTACTCCCTGGGGCAGGGACCTGCTGCAGCCCCCTCCAGCACAATATGCTCAGATGGAGCTGCACCTTCCCTCTGTCCCCCACAGGTACAACAGGGCTCCTGCCACAGTCCTGTCTGCACCAGAAATCCAAGAGCCAGGCCTTGCCTGAGCAAAGGTTGAGGGATCAGCCCTCACTGCCATGTCCAATGCTAGGCTGCCCTGCCTTGCCCTGGGATGGGCGCAGGCTGAGGGAGGTGACCAGGCGTACGGTAGTCCCTAGTGACCTTCTCACCCACCTGTGTGGCATGTGTCCCTGTTCCAGACTGGTCCTTGTGAGGTGGGGGCTTCTCCCACCAAATGGGGGTCACCAGCCATCTCAGGGGAACTTCCAGTATCCAGGGCCAATGGCAATCCAGCTGCAAACACCTGGCAAATCCACCCCAGGGTCAGCTGCAGCAGGTGGCCCCATCCTTGGACAGCCCAAGCTGCCAGCAAGGGAGGGGGCATGAATAGCCACTCACCTGGCTTCACCTGGGGCCCAGGCAAACTCTCTGCTTCTGAGACTCTTCTCCCACTCCAAGGGGCCAACTCCTGCACACATCCCCATGCCCTCTATGCCCCACATGCTGTGGGCCTTGCTTTCTGACTCATGCAGCTCAGTCCCACCCTGCTTCCAGCACAGCACTGCCCATTCTGCACCTGCCAACCTCACCTGTGTCTGCTGTGCCACCTGCATCGCCTCTGCCTGCTGTCCCAGCTCCATCGCTCCCACCTGGGGCCTCAGTGGCCTGGGCAACATCTGCTGGCCCGTCTCTGTCTCCATCTCCTCCTGCACCAAGGTCTGGGCCACATCTGCCTCCTGGGCCATCTCCCTGCACTCTGGACCACATGTCTGTGCCAGCTGTCCTTGCTGGATTTGCTGCAAAAGTCTCTGCCTCTCCTAAAACACGTGTCAGGAGGGTCCTGCCCCACTCTAGCATCCAGCCCAGCATGCGCACACATCCTAAGGGGAGGGCTGCTCAGGGCACCATGGCCTCCTCAGAGACAAGCAACCCCAACACTGTGCCAGGCCCCCAGCTTTGTTGCCACCCAGGGAGCAGCTGGGCCTGCTCACCAGCCCACAGCCCCCCAGAGTCACTGGCCTAAGAGTTGTCTGAGGCTTGGAGTCTCCCAGTAGGGTGGACAGGGCCCAGGATCAGCTGTTCTCACACACCTTTATCCTCAACATGTCCCCTTACTCACCCCCACCCCATCCCGACCCTACTGGGGCCACAGCCTCTTGTTCCATCCCCAGCTATAGCCTGGTGCCACTCTGGGGACCTGCTGCCCTGATATGAATTCCTTGCTCCCACAGGGTCCTCTTGCTCACCCACCTCCGCCCACTCAGCTGCCAGGTCCCCGACGTGTCTCTCCCAGCGCTTGGTGTCCTCCTGGCTTTGCCTCTGGGCCATGGCTAACTCAGCCTCCAGAGCAGCTAGGCGCAGGGCGAGGGACTGGAAAACATAGGTTAACAGTGAGGGAAGCTGGTGGGCTCTCTCTCCCTTCACATTATGGCCAACTCCATCCCAAGAAGTGTCCCCACCCTCAGGTGTGCACATGTGTGTGCATGCATGGGTGCACATGTGCCCCTGACCAAGGCCCTAATACTCAGCCAGCAAAGTCTGGAGCACCCTCCCCTGCAACACCCGGGCAACCGAGCTCTCACCTCATCTGTGGCTGAGGCCTCCAGAGTCTGTTCATCTCCATCCAGGGCTGTAGGGCTCCCCTGCGGGATCAGGCCAAGGCTGCTCTCACCCCCTGCAGAGAAGGGCATGAAAGAGAAGAAGGTACTGCCCTGGCAGATGGGGCAGGGAGGGTGTCTGCCTCAGCACCAGCCCCTCCTGCTGGGAGCAGTCCAATTTAGCACCCGTCCTTCCCCTGCTTTGGTTCTACCAGCTGTCCCTAGAGGAGCACTAGGCTGGCCTGGGGCAGGGATGCATGGGCAGGGAGTCTCATGGCTTCAGCCTCCCAGAGTAGGAGCAAGGCAAGACAGAGCTGGCACTATGCAGCCCCTGGCAGCACAGTACCGGCAGAGGCGCCCTTGGTTGCCTGTCCAGTGCCCTCCTCTTCCTGAGCCATTTCCCCACATTGGTCCTCTGGCTCTACCAGCCCCTCCAGGACTTGAGATGGGCCAGCAGAGTCCAGCTGATGCTGCTCAGAGCTCGTCTCCAAGGATGTCTGGCAGGGAGAGAAGGGGAATCGCAGGGGAGACATGTCAGGGGACTGGGTACTTGGATGTGATGAAACATGGAGCAGAGGCAGGTTCTGGGAGCAGAGGGGTTGACTCCCAGGGTGGGGGGCTGTGAGCAGGGGGAAAAGCCCCTCAGCTGGAAGGGCAGGAACATGAGACCAGTTGCTGCCGTCACTCAGTGCCCTGGGCAGGACTGTCCCCCTGGCACAGCAGAGGCCAAGGCTGAATCAGTAACAGCCTCAGTCCACACTCTGATCTGAGCTGAGCCTGCAGTAGGACCAAGCTCTTGCCAGCCTAGAGATGGGGCTGCACTGCTGCACACAGGCCGGGCAGGAAATCCCCTCAGGGCCATGCCATCGAATCCTGATATGTCTCCAGGCTCCCTCCCTATGGGCACTGGGCACTGCCAACTTCTCCTCCTCCCCCAGTTCCCCCAGGGCACAACTAGGCTGGACAGTGGTCATACTCTGCACAGAGGCCTGAGTGCCCTGGGCATGGAAAATCAGGCTGGCATGCCAGCTGAGTCCAATGGGGACACTACCTGGGTGCTCATGCCCCTCCACAGATGCCCTCTTTCCTGCAGGAGCCCTTCCAGCTGGGCGATACAGGTGTCCCGGGTCCTCACCTCAGCCTCTAGGTGGGATCGCTGCACCCTGCTCTCCTGCTCCAAGCCCTCCACGTGTCTCTGCAGGACAGGAAGGGGAGGGCTGGGGGCACTAAGCAGGGCTCTCCCAGGCCAATACTGGGGGATGGAGGGCCAAGGGCAGGTAGCAGGGGGAGGAGGGGGGAAAGAAAGGAATGCAGTACAGTTGGAAGGACTCAATGTCTAACAGGGATGGAGACAGGAGCAGCACTACAGGGGACAGAGACTGTCACTTGAACAGGTGGGGATGCCTGGGCTGGGCCTCAAGGCCTGGGACACACTGGACAGGACAGCCCTGCCCACCTGGGTGCTGTCCAGCTGAGCCCGGAAGAGCCGGTTCTCCTTCATCTTCACCTCATTCAGCTTTAGCAGGTCCTTCAGCTTCTGGTCTTTGGTCTCCAGGTCTGGAAGAGACAGAGCACAGCCCCAAAGCAGCAGCTAGGCACATGGATGGAGACTCCCCTCCCCACTCCATGAGCTACCTCAAGAAGGACCTAGGCTGGGTGGTGCTGGCACTGGGGGGTGGGGGTGGCGGGGGCAAGGGGAGCCAGGCAGGGCTGGGGGAGCTGTTACATGTCTCACCTGGGGGCAGGGGTTCTCCTATCTCCCTCTAATAGCCAGCCTTGACAGCTGCTACTTGCTAGCTTTGCTCTGGAGGGAGAAGCCAGGGCTGGGGGCCCTGGGGTGTAGATGTGATACATTATATAGGGACATGGTGCTGGGGAGCCCAGGGCAGGGCCGTGCCCCTTGTGCCCTAACAGACCACAGCTTGAGGGGAGGATGGGATGTCAGGAAAGACTCACCTGTTTGAGCCTGGAGGAGCCGCCTCCTGATCTGGACAAGCTCTTCCTTGGCCTTGTCTACTGCCTTCTCCATTTGCTTCTTGTGGCTTCTGTGAAGAGCAAGGCCAGTACCTCAGCATCACTCCTGCCCCCATGCTTTTGCTCCTGAAGTAGCTGATCAGCTCAGGCAGGCCCATCCGGTACCCCAGGACTCAGCAGGAGGAAGCCTACGTCTCAGGGGCAGCGAGTGTCATGCGCTTTGGGGAAAGGGCCTCGTACAAGAGGGTTCAATATATGCCAGCTCTTGGGAAGCGCCCCTCTCTGTAAGCCCCATGTGGCCAGGCTGAGTAGGAGGAGGGAGTGCAATATCCCCGGCTGGTTTTCTGCAAGCTGCCCCTTCAAAGGAAGATCTGTCCCCTCTGCTGCAGAAGCAACTTCCATTTTGTGTTCAAAGGCACTGTGTTCCCAGTGAGACATCCCCACACCATGCTGTCATACTCGACCTGCTTAGAACAGGACTCTGTCATGCTTTAGCAGTGGCTGGGCAATATACATGGCTTGGCCAGGCCGCTACACCCTGCATTTGTGACTCCTGTGGTCAAATGCTAGGTTACCCCAGCTGAGAACTCCGGTTTACCACCCAGATTAGACACTTGTTTGCTCTTGGTTTGTTTCCTTCCCATCCTATAAGATGAAGCTCTTTCAGCCCAATGTGGCTGTTCTGTGTGAATGTCATGTGTTCCCTTCACTCAGCTAACAAAATGAAGACCCCAGCAGGACCTACAGGGTCCGAACTTTTGCAGGAGAGGGTTAAACAGAGCAAAAGACCCAACCGTGCTGCTGTTCCCTTACGCTGAGGCCACAAGGCCCATTCCTCCAGAAACCCAGCCTGGCTACACAGCTGCCATGTAGCACAGCCGACTGGGGACAGTCACCACTGTCATGAGCGCAGAGTGCTTGGCTTGGCTGCAGTCTGTCTACTTGACTCAGATTCAGTGGCAGGTGTTAGATACAACTCTCCTATCAAGAGCCCCTTCTGCTGCACTCATCGCTCCATGCCTTGAAGGACACAGCCTCGGGGGAGCTGCCTGTCCTGCTGGTACCTTTTTGGGCTGCGCAGGGCACTGGCACTGTTTGCATAGCTGACGATGTCCCTGGTCAGGTCTGCCAGGCGGGACACAGCTGCCTCTGCTGCACTCAGAGCCACAGTCACCTGTCAGCAGAAGGGACAGTCAGCTCCAGTAAGGACCCTGCTGCAAGTGCCCAAAGGGGCCCGTACCTGAGTTTGACAAGATGGCTAATGTCGGTGTTGCTGACAGGCAGTGCAAGGGGGAAAGCCAATAGACCGGCCCTAGAAGTCAGCTTCTGCCTCAGTTTAGCCCCCTCCAGCAGTAGCTCAGGGACCTGCCCCCACATCCCTGGGGCAGCCCCAGCTGAGAGCAAGGGACCA